CTGAAGGGGAGGGGACGGGCTGAGTTGGGTAGAGAGAACGAACCCCCCCCTGACGAAAGCGGAAGAGAGAAAGCATCTGTGGGGGCCCCCGCCCCCAAGGAGGAGAAGGGGCCCCTGGGGGGCCCCCCTAGAGAAGGTGATAGAATAGAGCTTGCGGGAGAACCTGCTGCTCCTGCTCCTGCTGCTGCTGCTGCTGCTGCTGTTGTTGTTCTTCCTGCTGCTGCTGCTGCTGCTGAGAAAGGGGGAGAGGAAGCAGGGGGCCCCTCCGAGTCACCAGATGAAGGGTACAGAGGACCGCTGCAGGGCCCCCCGCCCCACCTTGGGCTGTCTACAGTAGCAGCAGCAGCAGCAGCAGCAGCTGCTGCTGCTGCTGCTGCTGCTGCAGTGGTGTTCTCCCCTATACCTCTTCTTAACATATCATTGGGGGCCCCCTCGCTGCTGTTGGGGCTGCCGCTGCATGCAGCTGAGAAGAGGAGGGGCCCCTCTGAGGGGCCCCTATGCCCTTCACCCTCCAAATGATGGGGGCCCCCCCCAAGGGGCCCCTCGGGGGGCCCCCCTAGCTGCCGCCCAAGGGGCCCCTCCGGGGGCCCCCCTAGGTGCCCCCCAAGTGAACCGAGCAGCGGGCCCCCTAGGGGCCCCATGAGGGGCCCCCCTCCTGGCCCTCCGCCCCCTCTTAGGGGTCCCCCTGGGGGCCCCCCCACAGGGGGCCCCCTTGGGGGCCCCCCATTGAATGTATCGGTTGGTATGTGTTGGGTATCTATGAAATACCCTTCTGTACCCTCTGTACCCTCTGGTTGCCACCTGGGGGGGGCCCCCCAAGTAAAACTATTTGTGGACGATGCTGTAGAAGGTGTAGAGGAGGGGGGGCTGTCTGTTGAGGGGGGCCCCCACTGATCGGACCCACCTGATGCTGATGAAGTGGGGGCCCCTATAGATGAGCTGCTGTTGCTTGGGGGGCCCCCAAGGGCCCCCAATACATCTGCCCAGGGGCCCCCTTCACACGGAGGAAAAGAGGAAGACGGGGGGCCCCCAGAAGAATGATATAATCCATCACCTCCTGCTGCTGTTGCGGCTGCTGCTGTTGCTGCTGCTGCTGCTGCTGCTGCTGCTGCTGCTGTGGGTTCGTACGAGGGGCTAGGAGACGCCATATCCAGCCAGGGAGAAACCCGAGGCTCTGCTGCTGCTGCTGCTGCTGCTGCTGCTGTTGCTGCTGCTGCAGTTGCTGTTGTTGCTTCTGTTGCTGTTCCAATAGCAGTATAAAGAGAGCTAGACGGGAGGGGCCCCCCGTGGGGCCCCCCGAGGGGCCCCCCGGGGGGCCCCCCAAAGACCGAAGGGTTTGCTGCGGGGGGGCCCCCCGCTGCAGCTGTATTCGTCAACCCAGTGGGTACAGCTGCATGCGGTATTGTTTCTGCTGCTTCTGCTGCTGCTGCTGCTGCTGCTGCTCCTGCTGCTGCTGCTGCTGCTCCTGCTGCTGCTGCTGATTTTCTTATGGGGGGTAGCCGGCGGGTGTAGGGGCTCAGGGGGGCCCTGGGTACCGACCCCAGGTCGTTGATGGGGGGCCCCCCGGGGGGCCCCTCGCTTTCTATCAATAAAGAAACGCCTCCTTTGTCTTCGCTGCTGCAGCTGCTGCTGCTGTTTCTCCTGCTGCTGCTGCTGCTGCTGTTGTTATTG